GCACATGCCTACTCTCAGACTACTTTAAGCCTCCTTTGGGCAGCTTGCAATATAGACGCAATAGAGATTTCCCGAAGGTCTCGTACGTCTAGAATATGGGCTCAGGATAGGTCGGAGGACCGTGACCTCCAGTTAATCCCTGCCCCGACTGGGCTGTTGGTCTAGTGTACTCAGTCTAGGATAGTCCTAGACACAATGCCCAATCAATTCAGCCAGTGGCGATCGGGTCTTGAAGATTACTAAGGCTTTTAAGTCATAGTAATCCAACTTAGAGAGTCATAGTTATATTTATATTTTATATTTCCATTTATATTTTTTCACTCATATCGAGAAATATATGTCAAAAAAAAACATTTCAAATGAAAATTTAAATTTTTAAAGAATAGTAATTTAATTGAATTTCTTTTACGCGGTTTTGTACTATTTCAATCGTTAATTATTTATTTCAAAAATTTAATAAACTTAATAAATTCTATATATTAACATATTTCCAAAAATATTTAATTAATTAAACTCTATTAAACTCTATTTTTAAAATATTTATATTACTTTATATGTTATATAAGTATTTTATTTCTTAAAACAATCAAATTATTTTACTTATTTTAAATATACTTTCTTGCAAGATTGTGTGATAATTTTTAGCAATTAATATAACTCGCAAATGAAATACGAAAAACAATATAAAATAATGAAATCAATACAAAAACTCTATTTGTATTTGTACAAGTACATTATAATAAAGCAATAAATACCAAGATTAAATAGAATTCTAAACTGTTTAAATCTATTCATTTTAGGGCAACAAATCTGTGAAAACATATCCAACTGCAATACTTTTATAATAAATATATAAAAATAACCTAATATGAGAGATTCACAGATTTGTTACTCCAATATAAAAAAATGTATCACTCACCGATCCGATGCGCAACAACGGAGTTAATCTGCAACGTAGCTACGATGATTCTGTAACACACAAACAGATGCAAATTATAGCAGCGCTTTAAATAATATTTTAAATGATATTTAAAAAATTTTTATGTATGTCAAATCTACTTGTTTTTCAATTAGATATTTATTAAAATAATTAATAATTAATAAATAATTTTCAAAAAAGATCTTTATAAAAATAAATTCACATATTAAATTTTAAATTATTTTTCTTTCTCAGACTATAAATTTTAAATTATCGAAATTCAGTAATTCAAATAAATGAGAAAAGAAATAATATTTAGAAATAATTTTTACTATCTAAGAAATAATTATACTATAATAAATGAGAAAAGAATAATTTTATTTCGACAAAATACTTACCGCAAGGTTGCTCCGCCGGTGCCCGATGCTTCTCCTAGGCCTCCTCCTCCTCTCAAGATGTCGGGTCGTCGGATGTCCTCGCAGCACAGGACACTCGCGAAAAACACTCGCGAATTATTATAATCGCGCGCGGACTAATTTTTGCTGCCCGTGAAAATATCAAGTTCCGTCGGTCCAGTCAGCACCCGAGTCGGTGAGCTTTTCGGGACACACGGTAACTCCTCAAGCAAGGGCTAGGACCGAAGCGGAAGAAGACGAATCGACTGACTTGAATCCGACATCTCTTGTTTCTTAGAAATTACGTCTAAAATTGACTCAACCATCACATAGCCAACGGTTCAGGTCGAATCACCAGGGCGGATACCATACACGTGATATCAAAAGTCACCCGGGCTATCGAGAAGGCTGGTAGATGTGACGAGAGAGAAGGTACCCACCGCCGATGCCTAACAATCTAGACAATCGGACAACTGGGATCCAGCCTCTCGGCACACGCAATAACCGCCCGAACTAAGCTCTGATCAAGTCAGATTAAACGCGATTTGTTTAGGAAGGGGAAGGGTAAGGTATTAAGGAAGGGAAAATAAAGGTCGTTGGCGATTAAATAATCGCGCGCGCCACATAGGAGCCCTTTCACGACTCGTGGCAATGCTGTGTCGAAAATGAGAAATAGTCCGCGCGCTCCAGACTAATACGCGCTTATATAATCGCGTATATCAGTGCAGTGAAACGCACGCGCCACATAGGAGCCCTTTCACGACTCGTGGCAATGCTGTGTAGAAAATAAGAGATCAAGAGAAGCGACGAAAACAAGTCAGCCGATTGAAATCTTACCGATTGGGACCGAATCACTTGTCGAAGACAGAGCGTGTTCTCAATCAGCCGTTTAATGCAATTTGCAACTGTGCGAAACACAACACATCAAGCGGTAGCGAGTGCGTGTAACATTCACAGCCGGCATCACCAGTGCCGCGGCGCACGTGGCGTGAGGACGTAGCCGACTACGCCTCAATGAGATCCCGCGCTCCCTGCACCCCTTGACAGTGCGACTCCCGGCACGAACTGTGATATTTGTCAAACGGGCCCTCGCAAAGCGAGGAAAAGTCTGTTAGTCCGATCACTTGTACGGCACTCCCGAAGCAAACGCGCGACGCGACGAACTGGCTGCAGTTCGTTCATTCCACAATTAAATCGGCGGCGGAAATGTCGGTTCAAAACCGACGATTAATGCGATGAAACGCATTAATCAAGTTTGCCACATAAGAGCCATTTTACGACTCGTGGCTATGCTGTGTTAGTGTATTATTAATAACAGTAATATTAATGTTACTTAATATTAATGTTACTAATAATAGTGCAACGGGTACTGGTTAGCTTCTTCGTCTTTGGGGTACACACCCAAGTAGCACAAGTTAATCGGCAAACATTTTGTCGATTAATAATGCTGCTTAGGTAACCCCTCAGAATACTGAGCCCCTCTGCCACGTCAAGGCCGTACCCATTAGAGGGGTATTATTTAAAAAAGAGTTATGAATTTCAAAGAAATAAGTCGCGAAATATGTATATAATCTTGCTATAAAGTCGTAATTTCGATACGCTTAATCGTTAATTATGCGAGTTAATAAGCACTTGTTATTACATAAAATATTATATTTCATATAATAAAATATAACAATGTTTAAAATAAGAAAGTATCAAAGAAATGCGGAGCGACGCGCACTGCGACTTGTTTGTACGAACGCCGGTGAATGAATGGTAACACGTGAACTACTCGTAAACACGAGTACTCACGCTACTCGCCGTATAGACACAATGAAGCGCGCTCCGCGGCGCGTAAACATTTCTCAAGGCTACTCCAACAATGGTCCGACTACGGCGAAATATTCAACAATATTATAAATAACATCTAACTTACACGAAACACTATAGCATTTTTTAATAACTGAACATTTAATAATGTATATATATATATATATATTAATTATATATATATATATATATTAATATAATAATATTATT